TCCCCATTTCCAAGCTGTAGAGCCAGCATTTTGTCTGTAGGCAGTTTCTGTGATCATGTGGCCAGCACGACTAGACACAGAACGCCGTTACTTTCCCACCACTTATCTACTTGCATTTGCATGTTTTCGAGCTGCTAGGTTGGCAGGAGCTGGGAAAAGCAAGGGGAGCTCACTCTGTCATGTGGATTTGATCTTATGACTGCTGGTCTTCTGACCTTGCAGCACAGAGGCTTCTGTGGTTTAACCCACAGCACCACCACGTCCCTGATTATACCAGGATGCATAAACAATGTGATATTCCTCCTCTAATATTTGGTGAGATCATAGTAATGTATCTACTGTTACACTGTTGTGTGTTTTAGTTACACTATAATGTAGTTACCTTTTGCACTGTGATGTAGAGTGGTTATTGCATATGGGGGGGGGAATGAATTAATTTCAAGGAACTAATTATTGTTACTTCCAAGCTGTAGAATTACTGTGGGTGTTAGAATTGCTTACATCCTTCTCTTCTAATTACACTCTTTCTCCTGTCTCAGATATTTTCAAATACCAAAAACTCAGTGCACTCTCACTATGTAGTGATCTAGTTAGATGTTTCTTGTCTCTAACTTTAGTTTCACTTTGCTTCTCCACCACCTTATACAGATGGAATGTCATAGTTAGCTGAGGTTAGTGTCAGGAAATTCTTGGTTTTCTAGTCTTATGACTAACTCCCTGTTTGTTTCCATATACTGTAAAGACAATAAGTAAGCCTAGTATATGTGTGATGCACAGCTACTCACAAAGGCTTTTTGTTCTCTTATGATAAAAAGCTATTTATAGGCTGTACTCCCCAACCCCCTTGAGTAGGGTGTGGATAGCAGCACACAGCTCTAGCTTGGTTACCACATCGAGTGCCTAACAAAGTCCTGAATTAAGTGTGGAATCATAAGCTTTTATGGTCAACATAATGAACTCCTTATGTATAAAATCGCTGATTTATAACTCTGTAGATCAGAGTTTTTAGCCTAGGATTCTGTTTCCTTCCTGCTTAATCTTGTACAGTTATGATCCACATTGTTGAAGTTGAAATAGGTGATGAAATGCAGGAGTGGCCATGGTTTAGGTGCTCAACCTTTTAAGAATACTTAACTATTTTTTTAATAATTAAGGAAAATATATTTTACAGCACACAAATACTGCAGTGTGTTCCACTGGGTTGGCCTGGAAATCTCTTCGATGGCAAAATACTGCATTTGAACTGGACCTTTCTAGTTAGAGGAAGTTGGAACTACTGTCTTTCTCTCATTGTCTTCTATGTATGTGTAACGCTTTTTCGGGCAACAGGTGGAGATTTTAATTGACCCAAGTCTTCCTTAGTGTCCTGTCTCTAAAATGGGCCTGCTGCCACTGCTGGCTGCCTAAAAAGTTGAAGTTCTGTAAGATAATGACAGGACGCTTTAGGATGTGAGGGTTTGGGCAGAAAGCATGTTGTTGGGGTTAGCAAGGGCTTGTGGGAAGAAGAGAGAGATTATTTTCTGAGCTAATCTGAGAGTGATGTGCTCACCAGCATACCAAGAAAAAATGGGGTGCCTCATCCATGCTTTGACCCACAAAACCCAAAGTGTAGATGTGCTTTTCAGAGGCACAGATGGTTAAGTTGGTTCTTCCTGTTTCATCCCCCATGTCTCATTACTAACCAAGAGAGCTAGAAAAGGAACAGAAAAAGAATAACTGATGGGTGAAATATTTCAGTAGACATTCTTTTTGTCATGGGAAAAAAATTGAGATCGTATGCCATAGCTAAATATATTTAGTATTCTGCTTTACTTTGCTTACCATGTATTTTACTTTATTTTTATTTATTCTCTATATGAGATATTATGAGATATGGTAAATCAGATTGCAGTTACTTTAAGACATCAGAATATTTCCTAGAAAACACAGTAAATGAACAAATATGATGAAAGGTTGAGTGGCTAGGTGGAAAATATTTATTGGTTACTTAAAATACCTTAAACATGCACTTAAAACATGGGAAATGAAGGTTTTCCCTTCTGGTTTGAATAGTTAGTATTGAAAACAGCCAACTTAAAAACATTTGAATTGACACGTTTCCTTCCAATTGCTAATATTGCTGATAAGCTTGATGCAGTGGTGTTGCAGTGTGCATTATTAGATTGTCCTAATGTAGCTGTCGATATGACAATCCTTTGCCAGTGGTTTTGAAATCTTATGGTATTAAGAGAATGAAACAAAAACACTACTGAAAAAACTTCAGGTGATCAAAAATAAATACTGAAAGTCAGTGGATAAGATTGTATGTATAAATTGACTCAGACCTTTGGAAGTGTAGTTTCTGTGCCTATATTTCATGCTAATATATATAATTAGTAAGCCTGATTCTGACTTGGTTTGCATAGTACAAGAACTGGAATGGCAGGAATGTAAATTAAGGTGGAAAAGTGTATAGAAGGTGTATTGGAGCATTAGATCTTATGATAACCTAGAAAATGTTTGTGTGTGGTTTTTTTTTACCTTAAACCAAATGTTCTAATTAGCTTAGTCTCACCCATGGGGTTGAATGTTAAAGATGTGCCATAACTTGTATTTCTGCTAATATTAAAAAGCTGTTTGTCTCAGCTGAATAATGTGCTGTCAGTACACTGGGGTGTGTGTTCTGAAATTCACATTTGTTACATAAGGAGAACATGTGACTCCCACTTCAGGTGTTAGCTTAAACACTTTCAATGGGAAAAAAAGCAAACATCTGAAAAGCTTGGAGGTGTTTCTCAGATGGAATTGACAAGAAGTAAGGGATTTTTAAGATTCAGAATAATTTTACCTGCTACATATTATGCAAATTCTCTCTTCCATGACGTCTTTTCATGTTCAATGTTCAAGCAGTGGTTTATCATTACTGTCTCCGAGTAAGCTCCTGTGGCTGAGCAGAAATTAGAACCCAGATCTCCTGAGTCCTAGTCTGATATTCTATCCACTACACCACTCTGGTTGTCATATTCTTCTATAGAATCAGAAAGGGCAGATGTCTCAGTACTTTGATATATGACTCCTCTTAAATTGTGCAAGCTCAGTATATATAATTCTTGCCCCTGTCTTCTGCCTGTGCTCTCCACCCAACTGTCAGATTGGCCAAGGGAATGCAGCTTTCGTATCCATAAATAGAATGAATTTTTAGCTCTCCGTAAACAATAATAATTCAGTATGAGAACAATGTATTATCGAGATCAGGTTTAATATAGCAAGCAACACTGCAGGGAAGTAGGCATACTGAGGTGAGGGTGGACGGTGGAATAGGTCAAAGGTTATTTGAGGTAGGAAGAGAGGATGTAAGGCATATCTGTGTTTTGTATGCAGTTAATATAAATAATTGGCAAGATTCTGCGAGACCACACAGTGGTTTGGTGTTATAAGTGTGTGCGCGCGCGTGCATGAAATTTTTTATAGGTGGCAGATCCAAATGTTAAATGCCATTGGATTGCTATTTTATAATCTGGCAAATCATGCAGATCTCAGTTGCACACGGTATCCATGGAGAAAAATGAATGTCTCATGAAAATTATTGCACCCAAGATTAACATTTAGTAGAGAGGGGCACGAACTACTGGTTGATGCCAGTTCGGCAGACAGCTGAGCAAGTGTTCAGTGGTTAGGCACCCTGCCCCCTCCAACAGCTGCCCACTGAGACACAGCACTTGGAGGAGGTGGGGCAGGGGAGCCAGGGTGCTGCTTCTGAATGGGTGCAGGGCGCCAAACTGCGGAACACTTTTTCAGCCTCCTGCCAAACCGGCAGTTCATATCTATCTCTAATCCTGAGCATGACTGTCTTTCATCAATAAACACTATGCTTTTGTTTCTTATGCTAATTTAGTTGATTTCATACCTAACTGTCATTATATAGCTACTGGTATAGCCACCATAGGACAACTATTTTTCGTAGTGGGGATCACAATGTGATTAATTAAAAGTAGAAGTGGAAGTTCCAGATATCAGTTGCAGAAGATGAGAAAGAGACCCGGGGGGGGGGGGGGGTGAAGTTTGGTGCAATTGGTGTATGTTGCACAAAATCAAGATGGGCAGCCTGTAGTCCTGCAGAAGTTGCTGGACACTACCTCCCTTTAAACCCAACAGATGTGAATCAACTCACATCTTTCTGGGACAGATGACCTTCTAGATTTTTTAGAGAATGCACAGAAGGGCAAAAGCTTTAGATTACTCATTTCACATTGAGAGACATTAGGGTTCAGTCTCCCAAGTGCTACTTCTAGTAGGCTTATTTAGAAGGTATATACTTTAGCCACTGATGACAAGATTTTACACTTACAAGCCAACCATTCCCTTTTAGATGCACATATACTGTGAACAAAAATTGAGAGCACCAGCTATAGGGTCCCTCTGTCATGCTGCAGGTATGCTTCTCTCATTGAATCAGCAAGCAGCTGGCCCAAAACAGGTGTAGTAAGTCATTGCTAGACCACACCTATGTTTTCTACTTTATCCAGAGAAAACCACGTCTGTGCTGTGTCTTTTGCTCTCATCTTTCATTTGCTTTCTCTCACTCTTGTATTAGCTTTCTCCAGGTGCAATGTTCTGCAATCAGTCTATAATCATAGAAACAGTGTTCCTCTTCTTAATTCCTCTGTTGCCAACCATTACTGGGTGGGTGAATGTCAGTAGCTTGAGTTATTTTTAAATGTGAGAGGTGAGGCTTGTCATGCAAAGCTAGAAAGAGGGCGTTTGTTTGCAGAGCTGACATCAAATGCAGATTGCTTCTTACTGGCTGTGCATTTCTGCTTTGTACCTGGTAATCTTTAACATGGTCTGTCAGTTATAGAGATCAGTCCAAGGATTTATATGAAATATTGCTTGTATTTATGACACTGAAGACCAGTCTTCTGGACCTCCATGTGCTGGACTTTGAAACTTCATCTGATCAATTTGCAGCCTCTTCCTCTTCACTGCTTAACTAAGCAATCCTTTTCAACCTCTCTTTGCAGGATAATATAAATGTGTTTTTGAAAGCTTGTGAAAATCTTGGATTAAAAGAAGCACAGCTTTTTCATCCTGGTGACCTTCAGGATTTATCTAATCGAGTTACTGTCAAGTAAGTCTCCTCTCATTAAATGTATGTGATTTTTGGTACTGTTATTCATGAATGCATTAAGAGGTACAGGCTCTTAAAAGATGAGATTTGATCAGATTTCTTCAAACTTCCATTAATTTTTAAAAATTATTTGCTGACATTTAAAATGTATTAAGCTACTTTATTAATTAATGTTTGTGTTGCTTAGAAATACAAATATCTGAAAGTTTAAAAAAGAGAAACCTTTGTTTTAAACTCGTAAGTACCATAAGAGTTCTTTCTCTCTCCTCTCCTTCCATGTGTGTGTCCATCTGTTAAATATATTTAAGAACTTGTACAATGCAGCCCCATCATCAATCTCTTGCCCTCTGTCTGTGTTGGACTACAGCTCCCACCATCCCTAATCACACTGGGCTAGCTGGGTGCTGGGAGATATAGTTTAGCACTAAAGGAAATCGCCTCAAGAAGGCTGATATAATGGCAGAGCGAGTGGCAGTGGACGAGGACGTTGCTGGTTCAAACTTGGTCTGAGCGATTAATTTATTTGATTACTTTTAGTAAGTTACTTCTTCTCAGTTACAGCATTCCCATCTATGTTACTGAGGTTGTAGTACCAGCCCACCTGAAGAGATGATCTGAGAATTACTAAAAGCCATGCATATGAAACACTTCATAAATGCTGTTTGTTAATAGTAACAATAATTAAGAGTAATGTCACTGTTCATGAGAGCTGTTGTTCTCTCAGAGTATAATAATTTTTTTTTCTGGAATGTACAATAAATATATATGACTGTGTGATAGGAACAGAGAGAGGACTGCCATGAAAAGAGAAACCAAGCACAGTGTGTTATAATAATTTTTTTCTGGCATGTACAATAAATATATGACTGTGTGATAGGAACACAGAGAGGACTCCCATGAAAAGAGAAACCAAGCACAGTGTGTTAAGTCTGAGAATAATTGCTGTCATGTTAGCTGTATTATTAGAAAATATGGGTTTGGTGGATGTTGCACAATGATTCATTACTTTCTATAATTGTTGGGTTGCCTTTGTGTGTGTGTGTGTGTGTGAGAGAGAGAGAGAGCAGGACAAAGTCCTTAAGATGTTGCCAAGAATGTGGCTGTTAACAAGTGTTACTAAGGTAAATATGGCATGCAGGAAATGTTTCCTTGGGCTGTTAAGCTGTCTCTTTCCTGAACACATTCACCACCTTGGTGGTTAGAGGTTAAAGAAATGCAAACACAATACCCTTGGTCTGTTACTGTGTTCGGAAAAGGTAGAGAACATGTACTAAGCTGCTAAGAATTCTGGCTGAAGGTATGGTAACAGTGTTGGGAAATCAACCTTGCTAAACTTGAAACTGTCTGGAAAGAACTTAATGGTAAACAAAATCAGCATTGCAAACAACTATTTTATTGTTATGTAAGAGTGGCTGCCAAATGGCCAAGACAGAGAAATCAGTCCTCAGGTTGTTCTATTTGAAAGTGAGCATTCACCCTTTATTGACACAGCGAAGGCAAAAATCAGCTCATCAAACAAACAAGCTCTCCTCTAGAGATAGTCTATATAGGACCATTCCCTTCCCTTTGCTTTACCCAGGATAGAATCCTTCAGGTTTGGGTGGTAACGGTCCGACATACTGCTCTAGAATGGAGCTTTACCTGCAAAGGAGATTCCATTTAAAGGTGTTTCTTCTGTTCTCTCTGCTGGAGAAAAGAGCCTCTACTCCTCTTGCAAATCAAAACCAGATCTAGTGTTTTCCATCCCCCATCACTACTGACCCAGAGAGAAAAAGGAGGGTGAAGGAGATGAGTTCTATCTATCCCACTATGCTCAGCTGTCTGAGGAAGGGTGCTTGTCTCCTTTTTTTCATGAGAGATTTGTTGAGGCAGGAAGGAAGAAAAGAAGTTGGTGCTTATTTTCTGTGCTGCTAACATGAAGGCCACTTGTGGGCTTAGTGTTCTCTTTTCATTCCCAGAGAAAAGGGATAGCTGTCATGTATGTTACACTGAAGAAAGAGGTGGGCTCCAGTGGGTGGCATTTGCTCACCTTCCTGCAAGGCCAGGGAAGGGAGATTTTGAGTCCCATTGTCAGGAGAAAGGCAGCATAGAAATGCAATCAATAAGTCAGAAGTGAGTTACTGGTCTTCCCCTTATTATCTTGAGAGCCGTTTTTTCTTAAAAGTTTTTGTGTGGGTTGCTTGACAAGAAAAGGCCTGAGCTTGGTCCCCCCCCCCACCGATTTTTGCATCTGCAGTTACTATTAAGCCTGTAGCAGAAATTAGTAGCATATTTGGCATTAATCAAAATCATGTGAACTATAAACTGAAGAAGTTGAAAATGCTGAGTTCAGCTTGTAAACATTTCTGCCCTTTGCCATCTGTGTGGCCTGTTCCTTTTAGACCGAGTGCAGTTATCTGTGTTTTAAAAACCAAGATAGACCACACTGGAACAACAACTATTTTAACTCTACTGCAGGCCATGCCAGGGTGTTTATTATGCCACAGTAGCGTAGCAGTAATTAGAAAGTCTGCAGTGATTATTTTTTCCCCTTTTGGAGTCAGTTTTATCCTGGCTGCAATGACATAAGATCATCATCTTCTGCTGCAGTCACTGGGATTTGTGAAATAAGCTGAGATCAGATAGCTCAAGCAAAAAAGGCTGAACATGATGTGCCCTGAAATTAACATCATGAAATACCAGCCAAAATGAATATAGGAGGGATTGATAATGAGATAAATGGTGAAATTAGTTGAATCTGAGAACTTCCAGTGCAGCGCTGCCTTTCTATCTCTTCATGAGTTTTATGGTGGGAAACATTCAGTCATTCTGATGTACCGGACCATTGATTCATAAAGGTTTGACAGCACAAGTATTCTTTCCTCTTTGTCACTAGTTTTGGCTCATTTGTATTTACACATTTCCCCCATGCTTCTCTCTCGCACCTTGTACATACATGTACAATTATAGCTAGGCACTGGGAAGACTGCCATTTAATGTACCGTTGATCACATGATAGTTTTAATCAACTGGTTTGTCATATAACTGTTTATCCCATTTGAACCACATTAGAAAGCTGAACACCGTGTTCATCTGTGACATATATTAAGGTTTCAATTAAGAAAAATAATGGGCAAGTTCTCTTCTGAAGCATCTCATAATTACCTTCTCCTATGCCAATCCCAAATAAATTATTGGGAGCTGTGGCAGAGCTTTCACTTTAGCAGAATGAGTACAAAGGAACTTCATAGTAAATTATGTCCATTGTGGAATGATACTTCCAGTGATAGGCTGCTCCACTGTCATCATGATGTAACTGGAGATAATTATCTTTATATTAAACTAGGTTGTTGTAGAATAGTTGTGTTCTTTTTTGTTTTGTTTTGTTTTGCCTTAGGACACCTATGGCTTAATTGTTTTAATAGTTGTGTAACCAACTGTTCCATGGCACTATGATTCTGGTGTTGTACCAACAGCAAGTATTTTCTGTCATTTTTCTGTGTTGCATGGTGAAGATTCTGTATCTGTGTTTTCATATGTATTTCACTCATAAGGGAACATTGGGCTTAATTACTAAGGGTTTTTTGTGCAAGAGAGAAAGTGTTGTGTATGGCTTTAACAAGTATATTTATAATATGCTTTTGGTAATGATGTCAGGAACATTATATGAATAATCTCTAACTTGCATGTTCCAGTGTAATGAATGAAGGCACAGACTCTTTCTAATTCCTTTCTGAGAAAGTCAAACTGTATTTGAATAACTGTGAAAGTAGCTAATAAAATGTGTCTTCATTTTGAGAATTTTTGTTTTAAGTATCACCTTTTCTGGCACTGGGAACTCAGCTATGTGAACACTGGAATTTGATGCATATTTGTTGAATCAAACAGGAGAATATTGGTCAAATCAATGCAAACACAAATATGTGTGATTTTCTATTTCTTTAGTATGTTTTCTCCACAAGGAGATGGAGCAAATCTCTTCTTTGGTAGCAAGTATGTACTGAAATCATGCGACTGAGATTATTATAGGGTGCAATGTGAAACTCCTGCTAAAAATACATCCAGTAGCTTGGGTACAGCTAAACAGTACATGTCAGTATTTTAATTCTACCAGTGAAACACTCTGGTGAAAAAGTATTTTACTATTTTTTAAAAGTAGAACTTTTGTGAATTTGAAGTATTAGAAATAGGGATATTAACGTATGTTTGAAAATGATTCCTATCATGTAGAAAAAAATCTCACGACATGACAAGTGGACCATATAAATGTAGTCTAACTGAAAATGAAGCTAGAACTTGCTTGACACCAAGCTGTTTTAAGTCCTAGGTGAGTACAGGCTTGCAACCCTGTTGTTTAGCTGTAAATACATGCTGTTATTGCTATTTGTGTCAAGTTGGAACTAACTTACAGCAACTCTAAAGGGGCTTTTAAGGTAAGTGGGGTATTTAAGGAGTGGTTTTACCAGTTCCACCTCCCCACTGCATTTCCATGGCCAAGTGGGGAATCAAACTCAGGTCTCCTTAGCCTGGTCAATCACTCTCCTTAGTCAATCACTCTTTCCACTACACCATACTGAGTTCCACAAATACATAAGAGTACTCTGGTACAAAAAGCGTTCTAACTGAGTTATGCTTTTGTGTCCTTCACACAGCTTGCCAAATACCTGTGGGCATTGCTTGACATAGTGTGTATGCTTATATCTGTGCATGGTCCATTGAATTGCACTTTATTCTTAGTAATACAGAAACTAAACTCCACTGCAAGTAATTTGCTGCCTGCTGTGGATTACCTTAATGCTATCAGTGTTTAAGACAGCCATCCTAAGCATACAGTATGTTTTGAAGTTAATGCCTTTGTACTCAGTGAAACTGTTTTCCAAGTGGATAAATTTAGAATTCAGCTATGATCCTTATATTCAAATATATGATTGTGATCTAGTCACTGTATTGAAAGGCTAAGCAAAATAATTTGTCCTTAATAAAATGGTAGCCATCCATATACTATATTCGTATTGTCATTT